CAGGAGCTCCCAGCTCAGGCTGCCCCACATGGTAATCAAAGGAGCCAGGATGCGTTTGCGATCTGTGGGGCAAAGAAAATCTGCTTTGGGGTGAGGGGTGGGGGAAGGGAGATATTGAACTTGTGGGGAGTGGGGTAGGAAAACTCTCAGTTCTATCAGAGCTGGGGTTTAATTCACCCTTGTGCAGGGATAGGGGAGCAGCACAAAGCTTAATGCATCACATAAGCCAGCAAAATTGGCCTCCGTGCCCTGATTTAGGAAAGCATCCCTATTCAGGAGGGGTGCTTAAAGTTAAACACGTGCTTAAGTGATTTCCTGAGTCGGGGTTGGATAGATCTTTGGAGGGGGGGGTGTCAATTTCACTCTGGATGCAGGCTGCTGTTAAACTGGGTATCAGCTGAAGTAACATACAGTATGTAATAAAGGCAAAACAAGATGAGAAGCAGCTTTATTTCAATGGAGGGGACCGAGGCACAGTGAAGAGAATGCGGTTTGCTTTTTCATCCAGTGTAGCATTGTGTAAATCACATTTTAGCAAGAGAACCAATGAGCACCTCAGTTGTCACTGTGGGTCCGTAAGCCTTTCTGTTCCATTCCCAGCAAGCCCCTCCGCAGCGGAGTGAGCGGCTGTTCTCAGCTGGCAGGGTTTCCGATGGTAACGTTTTGTTAGTCTTTTTTTTTTTTTTAAATGATTTGATATGGTAATTTCCCTTCCAACACTTTTGGGGTGTTGTATTTTTATGTAGGCCGCAGGTCTACTAAAATGTGCTACGTTTCAAAATTTATTTCAAAATTGTTGTATGAAAAAAGAGAAATATTACGTAACCAAAGTCTTTTTTGTTTTTGTAATTCTGATGATCTTGCATTTTAAGGATTAAATTTGTGTGCTTTCCTGGCTGTGTTGTTGTTTGTGTGTGTGTGTATTTAAACACACACACGCTCTCCCCCTGCTCATGGTGGTGTATATTTTAGAACCACCACCCCTCATCCACCCCCCCATTCATGGTTAAGGATTCTGTGACTTTCCGTGACTTCTGCAGCGGCCAGTGTGGCTGGTTCCAGGGTTGCCCAAGCGGGGTTGCCGCTGCTGGGGCAGTTTGGGTGTGGGAGGGGGCTCGGGGTTGGGGTGAGGGGGGGCGCTTATTGGGGGGGGGCTTCCCGAAAGTGGCCAGCATGTCCCTCTAGCTCCTAGGCGGAGGGGCCGGGGGGCTCTGCATGCCGCCGCTGCCTGGAGGCACCACCCCCACAGCTCCTATTGGCTGTGGTTCCCGGCCAATGGGAGCTGCCTGCCCCACCAGCACCAGCAGGGGTCCCGGGCTACCCCCCCCCCCCGCGCTCCTCCTCAGAGCACCCCTGGCCCAAGTTTTACTCATGGGTATAGTGCAAGTCATGGACAGGTCACAGGCCGTGAATTTTTGTTTACTGCCCGCGACCTGTCCATGACTTTTACTAAAAATACCCGTGACTAAAACGTAGCCTTATTCATGGTATTTGTTGTGTGGATCATGATCAAACACAAAAGACCGAACAACCCTTTTTGTGACAAATTCTGCTCTTGCTTAGATGCAGGTGGATTGACGACCTCTTCTGGATCTAAAAGCACCAGCCTCTCCATCTTGCGCTAAAAGAGCACGTGACTCACTGTTAGCTCTTAGGCAGTAGCAGACTTATCAGGCTCTGTGCTCTGTAGTCACTAGAGAGGGCTAAAGAACCACACTGGTATCCTCACACCCATTTCACAAATTTGAGGGGTGTGTCTGGAGGGCAGGGCTGCCTCCGTGATAAGACTGAAGAGTGGGGAGGACAGAGGGTGAAATTCACCCATGTGCAGAGGGAACGTGAGTGGTGCACAGAGCAGCCCCCCTCCTCAAAGCGGAGCAAGTTTCTCCAGGAGGCTTGATTTGCCATCTCCTTGCACCAGTGCAGAGTGGGGCGTGAAACTCCGCTGCATCACAATGGTAGCATTGTTGCGCTTACTTTGCACTGGTGTAAAAGACAGCCCTGTGACAATCATGGCATGAACACAAGAGACGTTAGATAAAAACATAAATTCTCTTGCTGGAAGGTCATAACAACACAACTGTATTTCTTAGCATTCAGAATGATAATACATAAGAACCCCAAAACAGAGAGAGGCAAAACGGGCTGCTCCCTAAAACAGAGGCACAGCTCGATACACCTTGCTCTAGGCTGGCTCTCTGTAGAGACTGAACATTACTGCTAGATCCAGTCTTACGCTTCCCTACAGAGCTCTTGCAAGCAGAACCAGGAAAAAGCCCTGAAATTTAAAGTGACAGTTTACACTTTTAAACTGTTTTAAGACACTCCAAGCACAAAGGTGCAGTGCAATGCCAAAGGGGGCCTGTGATGACCACCATAAAAGCGCAAATGTCGAGGTGCCTATGCCAGTTAAGCACCCACATCTCTTTGAAATTTCAAAGGCTGCTTTGGAAATTTCGGTCTAAACACTCCTTTCCTTCTGCCAGAGCTGGATTAAAGGTCCCTTGTAAAGAGAAAAGTAAACTGGGGTCACACCCATATTTTTACTGCCTTGTTTTGTTTAAAGGCCTGAAAGCCTTTTAAAATTGGCCCTGCTTGGTTTTATACTTTTAGAAATATCAGGCATATCAATTCTCTTTTCTGCTGCATGGGCTCAGAGAACTAAATGGGGAGCAGCCTCCCAGGAGCTGGGAGGATCTTTAATGAAGAGAGCATTCTTCCCAACTGTTTGCCGAGCATTTGAGTTAAATGGGTGTTTGTTTTTTTAAAGGATGCCTAAAGTTAAGCATATGCTCAAGTGCTTAACTAAGACTAAAAAAAGATAGATAGTTTTTTGTTTTGTTTTTTTGGTCAGATCACTGTTTAAACACATTTATGAGTCACACTTTGCCCCGACTTGCTTTTTTCAGTCAAATGTGTAACCGAAGCTCCGGTATTTACCTAATAGTTCCTGGCAGTGGCAGCATCCCATTGTAATGAGGAAAATAAATGTTTGATTTTGCAGCTTGAAAGACAAAACACAATAGCTGAGGTGCTAAGCAGGGTTCTCTCTCCCCTACCTTTACCAGACACACACTTTGATTGCTTAGCTTTGAAAGGGTAGGGAGGGTCGGGGGGAACAGAAAAAGCTTTACGGGCCTGTTCCTGAACTAGTGGAGAATTGGCAAGATTGTGCCACAAGAAATAATGAAACCGGATTGAGATGGGGAGCGCCTTTTATCCAGGCTCAGTCAAACTTTTAGTTATTGTTAACGCCAATTTAAAACTCAAAGGCCTGACCGGGGAGAGGGGAGGGAGAAAAACTTTCTTTGTTAAAGATACAACAGTCTGACCCTATCCTTAAAGGCTGAAAAACACTCTCAGTCCATATCACTGGGCCCTGCAAAAGCAGGGATGGCCGGCTTTGAAAGCCTTACGGCTGTTCTTTTTTAAAAAAAAACCAAAACAACAACCCTGCTTTGATGACTCAATTCAACTACATGAGCAAGAGGTTTGGAGGCTCATCTAAGCGGAAAGACCAGTCTTCCCACAATTCCGCAGTGAGCATCAGTTCGTTCCACCCTGGAAACATGACATCATCAGAGCACGCTGTCATTGGCCGAGCAGTACCTCTGAGGGCAGATGCAGACACAGCTGACGGATCCCTGGTGCCAATGATCAGATCACGCCTGGGTTGGAAAAGTCACCCTTGTATGTAGACTGAAGAAGGCGTGTGCGCACAAGCGTCTGTGCACAAGCGTACGCACAGGTCTATGTTCGATTGTAAGGCCAGAGGGGCCTATTAGCTCATCTAGTCTGACCTGTATAACAGGGGCTGGAGAATTGCACCCTATTACCTTGTATGAGTTTTGTTTATTTTAAAGGGCTGCTGGAAGATACGAACTGCGGACCATTTGTGATGAAGCTGGGGAAAATTCCCCCCTGAATTCTGAAACTCTGCTGCATGACGGAAACAGCATTTGTTGGACTTCTCTATATTACCAGAGCAATTTAAGGCCCAAACTGAGATCAGGGTCACATTGTGCTGGCTGTTGCACAGACACAACCTGAGAGACTCTCTGCCCCAAAGAACTCCCAGTCTAGATAGGCAAAGACAGGCTGATAGTTGTCATTTTACAGATGGGAAAACTGAGGTCCAGAGCGATGGTGCGATGTGTCAAAGGTCACACAGGAAGTTAGTGGCGGAGCTGGGAACTACATGCAGGGGTCTTAGTCCCCTCACTCAGCCCCAAGAAAGTTCTACCACTTAATTAGAGCTTTTTTTTGAGCTGAGTTGCTCAAAGCCCTCCCGTCCGACAGCCTGGTGAGCGGCACGGACGGACAAGGGGGTTCCGTGACGAGCCCAAGGGTGAGTTCGTTCTGCACACCGTTCCTTTTCCTTTTCAGTACAGCATGTGTCCCCTTACGTACAGGGCAGGGACGCTGGGGAATCCCGAAAGCCAGGGCCAAGGCGTGACTGTGTTTCTGAGTGAAGTGTGTGGCAGAGAAAACAGGAAGCCGGTGAGGCAGTGGCTGGTCCTTGAAGCAGGGGAAGTGGCGGCGGGGGGGGCATGTTGCTGCGGCAACCCACATGCCAAGTGTGGTTCCTGGCAGCTGCCCGTCGGTGTTTTGCAGCAACCCAGGCTGCTCTGAGTCAATGGAAAAGCTGAGCTGGGCCTGGAGGCCGGGGGAGGGTTTGTCGGTGTCGTTAACGGCCCTGGTCACTTCCCCTGGATGCTGGCCCAGCACACTAGAGAGCAGGTCGGGGCTCAAATTCTTGCTGGGGCCTCATATTCCCCCATCCTGGGGTTCCTGCCCATGAGAGAGGCTGGGAGCCAGAGACTGCAAGCTCCTTCACGGTGGGGACCGTCTTTTTGCTCTCTTTTTCTGCAGCACCTAGCACATCTAGGTACAACTGCGATACAGAGGATGCCTTTGGATCCCTCAGTGCTGCCTCCCTAGTTGGCGAGGGGGGGGGGGGAATTTTGGCTATTGCCTGGCACTCCTTGTCCTTTTGCCCTTTTCCTGCTTCCCCTCCCCAACAAAAGGCTGAAGGAGCTGCTGCTGCAGCGTGCTCAGAATGAGCCAGTCGGGAATGAGGCCCCCAGGAATCTTGCCGGGAACAGAGGGGGGCATTGTTCCGTACTGGAGTGGGGAATCTGAGGCACAGAGACTCGCCGAAGGTCATCGAGTGAGTTAGCAGCAGAGCCAGGAATAGGACGCAGGAGTCCCTCTGTCTCAGATAACTAGCCCCTGCGACCGGCGGGGGGACCTTTTTCTCAGGTCCCTAGGACATGGCTGCTTGTCTCCTCCCACTGTGCCTAGGATCTAATACCAGGACCGGTAACCTTGCTGTAGAGTTACCTACAGCTGCAGCCCCCAGTTTTGCCCTGAGCTTGGGGGGCCAGTTGGGATCCAGGGGTTTTACCGGAAGCTGATGCTGTCCTTGGAGGACGTTTCATTATGATGGAGCCCTGTGCCTGGGCCCACCTGCCTCGGCCCAGATACAGCAGCCGGCAAACTGGGGGTAACAGAGAGCAATCACCCCCATACACACACGGCCTCTTCTGCCACTCCAGAGCATTGTTTGCAGGGGCGGAACAATGGGCACTAGGACCCAGCGAATTCTCACCAGGTGGAGTCAGGAGGTGCGAATGCAGACAAACCAGTTTGGGATGAGCAGTACAGGGGCCATAACTGGTGTCCTAGAGCCACAGGAGGGAAAATCCATTGGGGATTTGGCTCCCCAAGAAGGAGGGAAAAACTCGGCTAACTTCAGTGTTTTCTGAGGGCTGGAACAATGGGTTCCTACGTCTATGATGAGAAACTCCAGCCTCAAAGGTGAGTAGCCCAGCTGGGTGTCTTTGACCCCACTCAGGCCGGATTCTGATCTCCATTAATCCAGATCAGTCATTCTCGCGTATCCCTGCTGGGGGTACACACAGGTCTTCCAGGGGGTACATCAACTCATCTCAATATTTGCCTAGTCTTGCAACAAGCTGCACAAAAAGCAACTAGCAAAATCCGTACAAACTAAAATTTCATACAATGACTTGTTTATCTTGCTCTGTATACTATACACTGAAATGTAAGTGTGATATTTCTATTCCAATTGATTTATTTCATAAGTACATGGTAAAAACGAGAGTCAGTCAGCAATTTTGCAGTAACAGTGAGCTGTGACACTTCTGTGTTTCTATGTCCGCTGTTGCAAGCAAGTAGTTTTAAGTGAGGTGAAACTTAGGGGTACGCAAGACAAATCAGACTCCTGAAAGGGGTACAATAGTCAGGAAAGGTTGAGAGCCACTGATCCATAGCGACTCCACTCCAGTTTAAATGAGATCCGGAGTGTCCGACGCTGTTTGAATCTAGCTTGGGAGATTCAGGTTCCCAGTTCACTGCATTGGCTGGGCCAATGAGATAGGCAGCTTCAGGATTCTCTCCTGAGTGTACCTGGTGGTGCCCATCGGTGTGGTGTCTAAACACGGTGGAACCAGCAAACACTGTTTGGGATTGTTGCGGGAGGCATCTGGAGAATCAGGCATGTGTTGTCCTTGCGATTTTATTGACTGAATCATACCGTGCCGGGCCTTTCAGACAGGCTGATAAATCCAGCTCAGAAAGTGGACGGTTTCTGAAAGTGGGGCCCGATCCTGTAGTGATTCTGCCAAGTAGAGGGCCAGGTTTTTCAGTGCTTAGCACCCACAATTGGGACAAGACTTTCTGAAGATCTCATGGGAGTTGAGCTGAAATTCCAGCCCATAATACAGTGGAATGTGTGCTGCAGTAAGCTACTACTCCCCTAGTGTTTTCAGAATCAGGCTCAGAGACTGTCATGTAAACCTTACAAGACAGGGTCGGCCTCAGTCTGTTCTTACAGTAGCGAGCAGGGATTCCAATCCGGATTGGGACCCCGTTGTACTGGATGCTGTCACTGGAAGACACAGTCCCTGCCCCAAGGTGCTTACAATCCAGCAGCATACAACCAGGCATGGGAGAAAGATACACAGCCTGGATTTTCAAAAGTAACTAGTGATTTTTGGCTGCCACAACTTTGGGCAAAATTGTCAGTCAAAACTTTTTTTGTCCTGCTGTAAAACGCAGATTTGGCAGCCCCAAAATTTCAAAAAACAAATACTCCCTGAAAGTCAAAATGCAACTTTTTGATTTTCCAATTCAAAAAGACTTGTTGTTTTGACATTTTCTTTCAATTTACTTTTAAAAAAATGTAAAACGTTTTAAAAAATGCCCAAAATCCAAACAAAATGTTCCACTTGAGGTCGAATGAAACGTTTCATATGACCTGAAACTAGGTTTTTGTTTTTGTATTTTTTACTTTTTGATTTGCCAAAAATTTTGGATTTGGGTTGAATGAAATTTTTTTTTTGCTGCTTTTTTGGAATTGCCAGCTATATGAGATGCTTGTAAGGGATGTGGGTGAAATCACAGGCCCCACTGAAATCACAGGCAAAATTCCATTGACTTGCAGGGGCCCAGGATTTTGCCCGTGGTGTTCAGACCGAATAGGGGTTCAGCAATTTCTGGAAATCAGGCCTCCTTAGTGTCTGTGGTTTGCAGTGTTGCCAATCCAAAGAGTTTTTTTTTTTTTTTTTTTTTTTTAAACTGAGTCATGCCTCAAAAAAATCAGTAATAATGAATTTTGGGTTCTTTGTCTTTGTCTTCTGGAGTTTGAGCCTTTAGGGGTCAAGTTTTGAACCACAATCACAAGGGCTGCATACTTCCTTGTTTTCTTTAAATGAAAGTTGAGATTCTGACACGACTCCAGGAGCTGGGACTTTTAGGAGTGACTCCCCCACCCCCACCTCTCCAAATAGCATGAGAATCCTAATTTTATTGGCAGCCCAAAATCACTAGTTACTGTTGAAAATTGAGGCCCCATATATCCCTGGTTTCAATTCTACCCTTACTTAGATTGGGAACTCAGAGGGATTGGGAACTCAGAGGGATGACTGTCTCTTTGTTCTTTCAGAGAGGCAGCCGTGTTAGTCTGTATCAGCAAAAACAACAAGGAGTCCTTGTGGCACCTTAGAGACTAACACATTTATTTGGGCAAAAGCTTTCGTGGACTAGAACCCACTTCATCAGATGCATGGAGTGGAAAATACTTGATAAGGCAACTCCTGTCTTTTCATGTGCTGTGTATTTATACCTGCTGCTGTATTTTCATTCCATGCATCTGATGAAATGGGTTCTAACCCGCGAAAGTTTATGCCCAGATAAATTTGTTAGTCTCTAAGGTGCCACAAGGACTCCTTGTTGTTTGTTCTTTGTTTGTACAGTGCCTAGCACAATGACATTTTGGCTCATGACATTACCACTATATAAATAATAACAATAATACCCTGACTTTTATTAGCTGGCTAATTATTTTACACCTCTCAGAAGAAGTGGGTCTTGAGGAGGGATTTGAGGGGAGGGGGAGGCAGGCTGGTGGGTAAGATGGGGCTAGAGCTCTATGATGGGGAAAAGCTGCATGAAAGATGATTCCTAAGGAGAGAAATGATGTTTTGAAACACTGTCAGTTTCCAGCAGCCAGGGGTCAGATCTTGAGCTGATGTCACAGGGGTTGGCACCAATGGAATGATCAGGATTTAGACAGCTGTAAATTCTATTATTATTTGTGTTGCGGTCGCCCTGATCTTGACCAGGAGCCCAGTGCGCTAGGCGCTGTACAAACAGAACAGCAAGACAGTCCCTTCCCCAATATGCTTTATAACAACATGTGGATTTTGCTGAACGCTGCTTATACATCCCACTCAATGGTCACAAACGCTAAATGATCGTTGCCACTTAAAGATTTTGAATCCAATTAAATATTTCCCTTTGCCCTCCCTCTGGCTGGCTTGTCAGTTTAGACCGGACACTCTTCAGGGTGGGGATGGTGTGTCTCATTATTTAGAGGAAGGTCTCTGGCCTGTGCTATGCAGGATGATCGTGGCGTCCCTTCTGGGCGTAGAATCGATGGATTCGGGTTAGCAGGGCATTCTGGAGCTGGAAAGGGCTCCGTTACTGCTCCTGGTGGGGCGAAACCAGTTGAGAGCCCGTGTTAAGGTTCAGAAGGCAGGTGAGGCATAATCACTGGAGAATTACACAGGGAGTCGCTCCAGCTTGCCAGGCTGCTTCATGACTTGTTTGTTTTCTTTGGAGGAGGGTGGAGCAGAAAAAACACCCAAACTCGTGCTGTTGAACAGAGAGGGTGGATGTTTCATTGTCTCTGTGCCTCTGTCCGCTGAAGACAGGGCGAGGAGAAAGTGGTGGGACTTGATGCTCTGCCCACAACCCTGTGCTCCGCCCAAAATCCCCCTTTCCCCCTTTAAAATGAGCAGGAACGAAATAGCAAATGTTAACGACCACCATTAGGCTTCAGAGTCAGCATGTCACTCGGCAGTAAAGCGCTTTACTGAGGATTTCATAACTCGCCCTGCTGGAACTGCAGGTGCAGCTTTGCCAAGCGGGAGGTGATTTTGTGGGAGCTGGATTTTAAACCAGAATGCCGGAAATCACACCCGCCGGGGGATTTTATAGCCCATGTGAAAGATAGCGCCTCCATCAGGACCTAGCGCCAGCAGCTCACAAGGGGAGAGTACACCCTGTTGCATTGCGGACACCACTTCCTGTAACAGCCTGAGCAGGGAGGCAGTGTGGCCTAGTGGACAGAACAGCGGACTGGCACTCAGGAGACCAGCATTGCTTTGAGACCTACTGAGAAAAAAGGTAGGTAGGCATTACTATTAGGCTGCTTCTTAGGTCTCCCCTCCAAATATTGACCAGGTCTGACCCTGCATAGTTGCTTACAGGATGGGGGACTCTATCCTGGGAAGCAGCAAATCTGCAGGAGATTTGAGAGTCGTGGTGGATAATCAGCTGCACATGAACTCCCAGTGCAACATTGTGGCCAAGAGGGCTTATGCGATCCTGCGATGCAGAAAGAGGGGAATCTTGAGGAGGAGCAGAGAGGTGATTTTGTATTTGGCACTGGTGAGATCCAGTTCTGGTGCCCACAATTCAAGGATGTTGATAAATTGGAGAGGGGTCAGTGAAGAGCCACGAGACTGATTAAAGGTTAGAAAACCTGCCTTACCGTGAGAGACGCAAGGAGCTCGATCTGTTTAGCTTAACAAAGAGAAGGTTAAGGGGTGCCTTATAGGTATAAGTAACTACATGAGGAACAAATATTTACTAGTGGTCTCTTCCATCTAGTAGAGAAAGGGGTAACAGGATCCAACAGCTGGAAGTTGACACTAGACAAATTCAGCCAGGAAATAAGGGGTGAGTTTTTAACAGTGAGCGCAATTAACCATTAGAACAACTTACTAAGGATCATGGTGGATTCTCCACTGACAAGCTTTTAAATCCAGTTTGGAGGTTGTTCTCCAAGATCTGCTCCAGAAATGATTTGGCAGAGGTCTCTGGCCTGTGCGATCCAGGAGGTCAGACCAGATGGTCACAACGGTCCCTTGTGGCTTTGGAATCTCTGATGAGTGCACGTTTGATGGCAACACAATAGCAAAGAAGCCAGGAGAAACCGTGGGCAGCACCCCCTCCCCGCAGCCCCAGCCGTGTTTGAGACCATCCCGCTGCCTCACCCCATCTGTATGCACCACACAGTTCTGGCCCCACGGGGTCCCGCTAACCGAGTCGTGTGCCAGCCTGTCTGGGAGCTCCCGGCCCAGGGCAGGTTGGAGCAGCAGGGCGTGTGCCTGGAAGCCACAGATCACCGGGAAGGAATGTGTTGGCAGCACGGAAGGTGTTGTTATGCTCATTAAGATGCTAATCACGTTGTCCTGATGAGAGAGGCCAGCTGGGCAGGGGAAAAAGAA